TCAGACGAGGCTACGCAACGCGTGATTACGTCAGACGAGGCTACGCAACGCGTGATTACGTCAGACGAGGCTAAGCAACGCGTGATTACGTCACACGAGAATACGCAACGTATGATTATGTCAGACGAGGCTACGCAAAGCGTGATTACGTCAGACGAGGCTACGCAACGCGTGATTACGTCAGACGAGGCTACGCAACGTGTGATTACATCAGACGAGGCTACGCAAAGCGTGATTACGTCAGACGAGGCTACGCAACGCGTGATTACGTCAGACGAGGCTACGCAACGTGTGATTACGTCAGACGAGGCTACGCAAAGCGTGATTACGTCAGACGAGGCTACGCAACGCGTGATTACGTCAGACGAGGCTACGCCACGCGTGATTACGTCAGACGAGGCTATGCCACGTGTGATTACGTCAGGAGAGGCTACGCAACGCGTGATTACATCAGACGAGGCTACGCCACGCGTGATTACGTCAGACGAGGCTACGCAAAGCGTGATTACGTCAGAAGAGGCTACGCAACGCGTGATTACGTCAGACGAGGCTACGCAACGTGTGATTACGTCAGACGAGGCTACGCAAAGCGTGATTACGTCAGAAGAGGCTACGCAACGCGTGATTACGTCAGACGAGGCTAAGCCACGCGTGATTACGTCAGACGAGGCTACGCCATGCGTGAAAACTTGACGTGACTTTTCAAAATTCACAAAAAATTAAATAAATAAAAATTCAAATCTAGATTGTTCCCATCTAGTTTCCCTCTCGACTGTTTGATGCGAATAAACGAGGCTACGCAATGTGTGATTACATCAGACGTGACTACACAACGCGTGATTACGTCAGACGAGGCTACGCAACGCGTGATTACGTCAGACGAGGCTACACAACGCGTGATTACGTCAGACGAGGCTACGCAAAGCGTGATTACGTCAGAAGAGGCTACGCAACGCGTGATTACGTCAGACGAGGCTACACAAAGCGTGATTACGTCAGAAGAGGCTACGCAACGCGTGATTACGTCAGACGAGGCTACACAAAGCGTGATTACGTCAGAAGAGGCTACGCAACGC